TTATATTTGTTAACCCAAAGGATTCCAAAACATCTTCCTCCACTGAAGTGCTGTGCACACCTGGGTAATGAATGGCAGTAATTTAGTGCCAGCTGCTGCACAACACCATTTCAGCTTTAGGCCTTCCTACATGTAATAATAATAAATCCTGACACTTATATAGTGCTTTTCTGGACACTCCACTCAAAGCGCTTTACAGGTAATGGGGACTCCCCTCCACCAGGACCAATGTGCAGCCCCGCCTGGATGATGCGATGGCAGCCATAGTGCGCCAAAACGCTCACCACACATCAGCTTTGGGGAGGAGAACAGAGTCATGAAGCCAATTCACAGATGGGGATTATTAGGAGGCCATGATTGTTAAGGGTCAATGGGAAATTTGGCCAGGATGCCAGGGTAACACCCCCACTCTTTAGGAGACACGCCCTGGGATCACAGACCACAGACAGTCAGGACCTCGGTTTTATGTCTCATCCGAAGGACGGCGCCTATTTACAGTATAGTGTCCTTGTCACTATACTGGGGCAGAGGTCTTTGATCCAGGTACTGACCAGGCTCACACCAGCTGAGCTTCAGTGGGCTGCCAGCTGTGAGTTGCAGGATGATATGGCTGCTGGCCGTGTATAGAAGTGGCAGTGGAGGAAGGCCTAGAGTTGAACAGATTGTAAAAGGCAGGGCACTGGGGTTAACACCCCTCATCTTCTGAACAGTGCTGTGGGGACAGGGAATTATTAGCTAGGGCTCTGAAGTTGCAGCTGGAAGGCTGTGTAGGGTACTATTTTTACACCCATGATTATTGCACTGACTACTCCAGTAAAATATCTAGCTCTAGAAATGTAAGTTGCCTTGGATAAAAGGGTCAAACAAAAATACTATTGCCAGTCTTTAATAACCATGTTGTCAAGGCCATGTTTTAATGAGTCATCTAGAGGACCACACCTCTTACAGCACAGTGCAAATGTTGTCCAGAAGGAAGACTGTCACCTACTGTCAGTAGTAATAATAAACTTAATTTAGTCTAAAATCTTTCTTTTATGTTTTTAGGCTTTTCACCTAAGACTTAAAAGCACCCAATTTGGCTGAATTTGGTAATTAGAATCAGGTGGTTGAACAATTAACAAGTAAACAAGAACTGAGTATAAGGGGATATATTCTGTTGGATCATTCTCTTAATTAAATAATCCAAATAGATGTTATGTCTTTGCGTCATACATTTAATCTAGTTACCTTAATCTTGAATTGACATTTCCATGACGATCTAATTATGTTTTAGGTCTAAAATATATGAGAAAATGGACCAAACGTCTTGCCACTGTACAGTTAGAAGCAAAGATACTAAATCAAGTGATATAATGTTAAAATTAGACAGCAGACTAGTAAATCCATTTATTTTCATTTTTGGTCATCATCACCACCTTAGAAAAAAGATATTGCAGATATTGCAATTCTGGAATTTTTTCGGTGACCTGATACATTCCCAGGCATAAAGGAAAGTTCTACACTGTAAGGATAAAATAATTTAATCTTTTTAGTCTAAAACAAAAGAAAACTACTACAACACGACCTGATTCATTCAAAATCCTCTAAAAGACTGAATTTGACAAGAAATTAAGACCAAAGGGAAATTGTTAGACTCGATTGTGGGATCTAGAACAAGTTATCCAGACACATTTTTGACACTGATAATCTGGTTTCTTTCAAGACGTGGCAGGGTGAGACCTTCAATTCAGTTAGCTAGACTAGCAATCCAAATTAGCTACACTGTCTGAAACGATTCCTCTCGTTTACAACTTTTCTTATTCTAATCACAAAAATGCATTTTTTGTCTGCTTCGGCAGATTTGGAGCTGCATACTGTATATGCAAGGACATTTTCTGGATATCTGCTTGATGTAAATACAGAATTATTAATTTACTTTTATAATCTAATCACAAAAAAACAGGAAGACAAATGATTGTGCATAATAACTATTTAAATGAGTTGCTAAATTCCCCAACAGGAATAAATACAATTTCAACTGAATTAAAATCTTTTTGTCATTTCTTTTCACAGATGGTTTTAATGTTACAGACATGGAACCATTGGGTTTAGATGGACAGTACTAATGGATAACAAAGTTATTTACTTTACTTGGTTGCAAGTTTTTAAACTGCTACCTAGCATTTTGAGTAGTTTACCACTAGGTGGCTGTAAATGCAAGATTAAAGATACCTGTAGTTAAAAATTACCCGAAAGAGTCATAATAGAGGAAATGAATATTTTAAAGAAGGTATCATCTATAAAAACAATAGGAGGATTAATCCTGAAAGCCAACATTATTGACCACATTTTTCTAACGACTGCATGAGTAATCATCGGCAGCTTTTGCAATTACTGTATCCTCGATCTGGACAGGATTCATTAAATACTTTGCTTACATGGGGGCTACTGAATAGTTGACTCTAGATTTCCCGCTGAACCTCAACAGGGATGCATTTAATAACTGTATATTGTTATTAATACTCCAGCTACATTGGTTACCAACCTCTACTTTGTTTCAAATCGAATTGCTAACTGCAGATTTGTAGTGTTTACTTCATCATCACTCCTGCAGTGAAAACTGTGCAATAGGGTTAACCTATGCATCAGATACCATGATCATTTTTCCTTTCTGTATGATCAGTTCTTTGAAATCTGTCACCCTGGCATGTCATACCCGCATAGTTATTCTATTTTTACATAACTTAATAATTACCTAAAACAACAATACTGACAAACCCAAGCATGTTATTAAATATTCTTGAAGCTCGTTTTATCTGTTCTTCTATTCTTTTGTTCTGCTTTTGTTCTCTATGTGTGAAACTTTTGGATATTTTGACTTGTCCCATTATTGCCTACATATTATTTATTACAAGGTGATAAATATAATTTTGAACCCCTAATTTGGATCTGAACTGACTGACCAGCAACATTTCAGAAAACATTTCTTAAACCATGCAGTAGGCTATTGCATTGCGCAACATGTTCCTCCGTTTATATTTGTGAAGCTAAATTCAGTGCCAAAACAGGGCTTCCTGAATAGTTTGTTTGTGAACAAGAAGAGATGATTTCTGTTCTCTGACAATAGCCGTACTTGAGAGCTTTGTTTTCCCATTTGGGATTCAGGTCAAGATCAGGCCATTTTCTATTTAAACAGCATTGACTGTTAAGCTCTTTCATATAAAAGGATGATTTTGCTGAACTCTGGTTGCACTCACTAGCCATCACACAGGATACAACTTTTACACATTTTATATAGTAGATACTATTCTCTCTCCAAACTATCTCAGAATTCCTTGTAGATTGTTTGAGATGCCTGGCATAATTTTCTCTCACTGACCACTACAGTGATGAAGCCCTCACCGGCAATGAAAATACTTATAATTCCTTTATAGTATTTTGTGAGTCAAACATAGTGCTGTAATAAACACAAGCTCTTTTTTTGTTCAGTTAAAAAAGCAAATCTATCAAGAAAAAAAAAATGTTTTTTTCTACTCTTAATCTACTTCTTGATTGCTTAAAATAGAATGATTAATTACTAGCTGAATTTATTATATCAAATTATAACATATTTGAGTTAACCACGGTCATGCAATATAAAAAATCTACAAGAAGAACAATTATTTATTTACCATTATAACCCACATAAAAGTCTGTTTTTTCAGTTCAGTTGAACCTGGTTGATCTGGCTTAAAAAATAAAACTTTGGGTTTGTAAACCTTGTGATACATTAGCACTGTGCACATTCACAATGATATTTTAAGATGGTAATGTGTGTTTAGAGCATGTTATGAAACTATTACACAGTTAACCTGAACACAATTTGTATCAAATTACAAATTATTAATTTTCAACATGTTTCTGAAACATATTATGTGCTTTTATTTTTTGAGTTGGAATTGATTAATATTTTGGTTGCAGATCTAAATACCATGTTTATTTCATCACAGGACTGTATGTTCATTCCATGGTGCTACAAAGCAGTGCCGATTTGCAAAAAAAAATGAAGTTATTTTTGTTTTTTAAGCATTTGAAATAAATCAAATGAAGTTTAGAATCTTTTTAAATAGTATTTTTTTTCTCAGCGGGAGATATTAGTGACAGCAGGATGTATATGTACTGTATATTTTCCATCTGATTTTCATTAGTACCTAACAAAGCTCATTACCTTAGCTGAATAGCTGTTTTTGACAGGCTCACTCCTCACCAGTCCAGTGGAATGAAAGAAGGCTGTGAGAGGTGTTACCGACGTGATGAGCACATAGACTTTGACAAAGGCAAAAACACCTTGTCCCACTGAAGGACTCCCAGGGACGCTGGACCTCATCCTACAATAAAGGTACAATCACGCATGAGAGAATGGCCACAAGGGAAACCAGATGTACCTGACAAGTGCTGGAAGAAAAACAAAGAGCACTCTTGTGTTACAATGCAATCAAAAAGCACTCTGGCAGTTTTTTTTTTAAAAATAGAATAAAATGCCATTGAATTCAATGAAACTGTCTATAATAAAGGTGGGTAGCTGCGTCAGCATGCGTAGGCTGCAAAGGAACAAGTAATAGGTTTATTCCATGCATGGAATAAACCTATTACTTGTTCCTTTGCTGTCTATAATAAATTTAAGAGTTCCTGGCCCTCTGCTCTTACTATTTTTCTCCCTCCAAATATTTTCACTTCTACAGAAACCATACTAAGGCCAAAGAAAGTTCACAAAGTACAAATTGTATAACTTTACATGTTTCCAGAGTAGAGTAGCATTTTTAAAATACTTTTCACATACAGCCTCTTCAGTCATGGTCAATAATATAACTGAAACTGGAAGTAGAAAGTAATCAGGCTGTATGAGACCAGATCATTTATGTTTGTAAAGTGCAAGAGTTGAACTCATGTACAATACCAAAATAACATGATCAAAACTTTAATGCAGTGTAAAAGCAGAAATAGCTTCAAAATTACTAATGTCTCTCTATGTAAGGAGCATTCGGAATCCTAAAAAAAGATCACCTTTATATGACTTTCATCCCATGATGACTGCTGTGGCTACATAATACATGTTAAACCTCACACTGATATTTCTGTTTAAAAGCATTTACAGTATGCTGTGCCTTGGAGATGTTTTTCCATCCTGTGTAACACTGACTAAATAGAAGATTCAAATAAACAGTACACAGTGTGACAGACGCAGTTATAACTTGGATCCTGGATCTCACAATAACATGAATATTCATTTGCTTATTTTGGTGTCTCCAATGAAATACAAGTTATATTGTTATTGTATACTTATATGACTCATAACTGCAATGCTTAAAATCTTACTTAGCTACTTAAAAAGGTAATCAAATATATTTAAGGAAAGGCTACAGATTTCAATTTTGTGTGAGAAAAATAAAACCAACAGTTTGTTTTCCAAAATACTCATAATAAGGTTGCAGTGTAATGTTCTGACTGTTCTGACTGTCACGCCTAATAAAGTTAATGATCCGTCCCTGGCAAAGTATTTCTTAGTAAGCCTCTACCTTTACTGCTATCAATGAGGTAAAAACAGTAAATTTTCACTGACTGTTATTAACACAGTGACTGACCATTCATTCTTGGCAGAGCTGTTGGTATCTCTTGGCTGACCACTGTGAGCTGCACAGGCAGAAGAAGCAATTGGAAGCTTCAGGTCTGAAACAGAATGCAATAACAATAAATGTCTCCCATTCTTTGCTTGTAAAATAAGAGCAGGCACAGTCTAAGGTTTATTTTTAATCCTGTACATATTATTCCCATTGTCTAATATGACCTCTTGAACAAAGCAAGTGTTTGGGTGAGGGGAGTCTGACCACCTGACCTCAAAAACAAACTAAAAACAGGCAAACTTAATATTTTCTCTTTCATCTTATTTGAATTGAAATTGAAATTTGAATGTCACTTTAGAGTTGCTTGCAAATGGAAACATAATCCATATTGATCATCAGAATGTCTTCCATTATTTTCTCCTTGCTTCTCTTTACCTGTAGTTCTGTTCTTAGATTTTTGCTAAAAATAAAACTTTTTTAGGAACCATTATGAATATTTCAGTGCCCATGATGGCATTTGCACAAATTATTATAAATTATTATGCACACTGTTATATTGTATTTGTGGTGTTTATGTAGGCTTTATTGTGATGTTGTGTAGCTCCAGTCAAGAAAAGCATTACCATAAACCTTTAAGTTGGAATGTTAAGGAGTATGTGATACTAAGCACCATTTCAAAGAAAATGTCTCAGTTCATCTTCCCTGAGTATATTTCAGCAAGATTGGCTTAGGCTGAAATCTAAATATCCTCTAATTTCTTTCTCATTATGTCCATTCTATAAGAAATTTTACTCACGTAGTAATGATAATGAAAACCCTTCTAATATCTGTAACAGTGAAAACATGTCATGTTTCAGTCCTATAAAGCTGATTGTGAGGTCAAAATATTAGAAATAAAACAGATAAAGCTCACGAACATATCAAAATTGCTTTTGTAAATGAAACAGTAATGTTCAAGACACACATTCAAAATAGCATTTTAGAAATTAAATGGGTAATCTAATCTATTAAAAATAATGATTATTGTGCAGTAATTGTTGGGGGAATACAAAAAATATAATAAAAGTTCACAGCATATGAAAAATATGTGTTTATATTGGATACTTATAATATAGTAAGTAGTCACTACTATTTTGGAAAACAAACTTGAAGACTGAATGAAAACTGAATAATAACAGTGGTCTTGAAGAAAAGATCAATTGAAATCCTGAATGTTCTGAAAGAGAACCTGAGGCAGAGCCAGAGTAGAGAAGACAACACGAGCTAATTTCACTGGAGTCGATTCCAGAGAATAAAGATTTACATACATATATCTTGGAAAATATCCACGATAAGTGCAACAGACAGTACACACTATACAGTAGCTGTCACCCACCAGCAAAACAAACAAGTATGGCTCATACAAAGTTTCCTTTCTAGTAGTTTCACCTAGGAAAACACTAGCTTAACATCAATAACCCACAAATATCAAGGTTATTATCTCAACAAAAACTGTAACTGCAACGTATTGTACAAGGTGCAAATACAGAACTCATTACCTGACAACCATTCATTGGATTGAAAAAGGCAGAGTCCATCTTTACTGGAGAAAGCTTGTTTCAATTCAGGTATCATGTTGACCTATAATAAGACAATACATTATAAAGTAACAGTACAGCATTTTTCAAATAGATGCTCCTGAATTTCTAACCACTGGAAAATAAGTACAGCAGTGATGTCAGACTGTTAATTTCTCAAAAATAAAAAAAATAAAAATCATTTTTAAGCTTACAAGGTTACAGCTTATGTTTATGACTCTTTCTGCTATGTATACAAATCTTATTCCTTTACGTTTATTCGTGTGACTTTGAATATGGAAAAAGTGTCCGATAAAATAAGATTTTCTTCATATTTTGTTGTAACAATGTATGTGTTTTGTATATTGTTCTCTGTATAATCTGTGTTTACTGATGGTCATCTCGTAATACTTATTTTTTCTTTTTTAATTCTTTCTGGTTATTTCTGTCTTTCAGCAGTAATGCTGTTTCACCAACATGATTGTATATCTTGTGTCTGAGCTTTTTATAGGGAGCAGGCACCTGGGAGTTCAGAATGTTACTCAAATAATTTTGAGGTCATCTGTTGGTCAGGTCCTTAAAATGCTGCTCTAGAGAATCCCAAGGATCTTATTTCACTCACATTTTGGGAAACAGCAATGCAATGTCCATGTGCCTGTGCTTTGAATGTTTCCATTTTAAAGAGATGCAAAGATAAAACTTCACAGACTTTCCTCTGCTGTGCAGGCAGCAATAGAAGGGTAAGGTGTTGTTTTAAACATTCCCTGAGAAGCTACAGAACTGTAGCTTTTCATTTGAATGGTTGAAGCAATAACATTAAAGTTCCAGAAAATACTAATTAACAGACTCTTGAAAATGTCTAAAGAGCTGAGATTGGTCTTGCATTAAGACCACAGTATTTGACTTGGGCTCATAATTATTGTGTCTTATTCTAAAGTCTGCCAACTTAAATCGTTTTAGTTTAATGGTCATGTTTTAAGCCTTTTGACTTGGAAAGTGAGGACTCAGACTTAGAAAGATAATAGAAGAGTAAATGGACATTAATTCATTTTAGGCCTGCATTGGAATTTAAAAAAAAAGTTTAATGAATTCTACAGACTGATATTTTCAGCAAATGTATCTCAGTCTTATCATAATAAAGGTGCTTAAAATTTTAAAGTTTTAGTAATCAGAGTATTGAAACAGCTACCACAGAGTCATATTTAATGTGGACATTGAATAACACTGAATAGCATCTGCATAGAATCAGTCATACTATATTATTTTTGCATTTGACCTAGAGATCACATAAATAGTATAAAACAGAATAGAATAATTCACCCATGGAATACCAGATGTAACACACCCAACCTCACAACTAAAACTGCAATATAATAAGATTGTAATGTAAGCTTTAAACCATTAAAGTGCAGCACCAGAATGCCAAACAAACTCAAAGTAAATAGAATGCTATAATTTACAATATTGAATGCTGTGCCAAAATCTAAGAATTACATCAGGTGCCATGAGGAGAGCATTTGCAACTTTTAAAAGAGTAGTTTCAGTGGTACAGTACAGTATATAACTGTCTAAAGGCAGTTATATACTGTAAAGTTTTTAAGAGGTTTATTTACAGCAAACTATTTAGTTGCACTACAACCACACATTCTAACATTTTCACAAGAAATGGTTTTATATGGACCGATTGCTTATAAATGGACTGAAAATGATTCAGACTATCTAAAGCCATATTACATTTTAATAGACTGGCATAACTACAGTTAAAAAAGCTGGCAGCACCACGCCAGAGATCAAGGTGTCATTATGTTAAGCAGTAAGGGCCAAAGGGCAGAGAAACAGGACCAAAATAAAACGTAGGGAATGGGAATCCGACAAACAGGAAGAGGGTTTCGCATGTGACACCCATTCAGCAAAGCAAAGAATGCAGGAGTGAGCTGTGTCGTGTGTGAATACGGAGACCCTGCAAATTGAGGCACACAGGAGGAAGTGCTGTTAAATGATATGAGGGAAGAAACATGACATGGCAACTAAGATTTAGCAATAGATTAATGGTAGATAACAGATAACTACATTTTTGGATTATTCCCAATAACATGAGAAAAATAACTGTATATAGACCTTTTAACAGCATGCCTCTATTCATTCTGGTGCTGCTTCCATGATTTAAGACGTGCCCTCAAGCCAGAGATTTGATATCTACTGTATGCTCCTGTTTATGAGAAACTGTCTTTATAGAGAGCAACTGGTCAGTTTATCATGAAACACTGCAAGTATGGGAGACAAACCAAGTTTTAGAAGGGGCCAAGGCTCACATGTAGTATATGTCAGGAATGAATTGAATGCCGTGCCTTATCTGTCAAAGTGCTGAAGCAGGACAGACAAAATGAAGAGAGAGCAGAACACGAAAGCTTGTAGTGTGTAAGGGTTAAAGTAAGAGACAGAAATCTCCAGATACAAAGAACATCCATGTGATTAGAAAATCCCAAATTAAGATTCTAAGAGGATGCCCAAGAACATCTAGCAATGCCGTCTAAACTCCCCTACTCTTACAACATCTCTGGGTAACTCCACCATTTGAGTAATGCTTATGGGTAGAATACTGTGGCAGAACAGAAGATTTCTCAGTTACACTCAATATATTCTTCCCTTTAAAAACAAATAAAAAGGTATCTAGAACACTGCACATATTTTCCACTAGTATACAATAATTCCACTTAATCTGTGATTGGATTATCAAACAACTGGAAGAGTACACATGTAACAGGTCTTCCTGTAAAGTTGATGTCTTTACCTTGAGCATTCAATCATTTCACACCAAAGGGTCTGTGTCTTGGCATAATGGGGCTGGGGCTTGTTTTGGTTATACTCAGGGGTGTCCTTGTTCATCTGAGGCCAAATCTGCACTTCAAGCTCAATATATTGTGCCTTTAAATGTACACTAAAGCTGTACAGTACATACTGTATGGCCTTACCTTCTGATGAGGTTTTAGTTGATGAAACTTCATTCTTTTGAGGCAGCTTTTTTCAGAACTTTGCAAGCATATCAGGATATCCCAAGTATTGTTACCTGTGACAAAAAATATTCAGACTTTTAATGTAATACATTATTAAATTATAAATATACCTATAATAATACAAGCCTTCTATAAAAATGCATAGTTTCTCTCTGAAATATATAGATTTGAAAGCAGTGTTTTCAAAATACAGTTTTAATTCCCAAAACAGTAAGTATACACACAATAAGAATTAACAAATCTTTTTTTTATGTCACATGTTGGCTCTAAAGAAATTAAATGATAGAATTTAATAAAAATTTCAGAGTAGAACAGAAATCCAGATCTCATTTTTCTTCCTGAAGAAACCCCCAATTCAGGAGATAATCAGCTCTGGGTTTAACCCTTCAGTAAGTGGTTCCTTTTATGCTTTTTAGAACTTCAAATTCTTCACAAGTTTCTTTTGGGATTAAAAGATGAAGGAATAAGAAGACACCTGAAACCTGAAGTGTTTTTGAGACAGGCAACTGACTACCACATTCTATGCTAAAAATATAAGCATTTGAAGGATAACATAGCTCTGGAACAATATTGCTCATGCGAAGGAAATTTGACTAGGCTATTTTTTTATGTGACGTAGTCAAAGACTTAGCCTTTTCTTCCACCAGAACAGCATGATAATTTATTGGAAAAAAAAAGAAAGGTTTACAGCAAGAAAAAGTCATTATTTGCTTATCTTGCGAGCACTGAAAACAGCCTACAATCTTGAAAAAACAAAGATTGATTACATAATCCATCCTTCTGAGTCTTAGACTGTCCAGAGACAATCACTGCCAAGTGTACAAAAACATCTGGTAACTATTTTGTGAGTCAGAACCACCCAAGGAAGCTCTTTAGTTTAGTTGGAACAGAAATGAGACATTTGTCTATTTGTGCAACTGCATACCAAATGTAAGGATAGTAATTTTAAATGAGAGCAAAGTAAGTGTTACATTTGCATTTCAAATAGGAGGGTCTTAGAAAAAAAATATTATGAAGTGAAATCAAACCCAGTTTAACTACGATAAGTTTTTTTACTTCTCTAACCTTAGAAAAGAAAAGAAAAGAAAGTGGGGTTGTGCCATTTGCTAGGAACCTGCCTAAGTCAAGCAGACATAAATATTTAACAATGTTTTCAGAAAAAATACATAATAATTTGCTGACTGCAGATTGAAAAGTCAAAATCCTTTAAAGTACCAGAAAAGATTGTTTTTAGACTGAATTACAAAGAGCACCCAGCTAAGCAGTGTGTAGTTATCTTCCTTTTGTCAACACTAACATAGCTTGCATTGAGCTTAACCACATTCTGCAGAACTATTTATATCTCCAGTTCGAAAGACGTGAAAGAAAAACAGAAGGCATATGGCACTGTCTGAGACTAATACTCTACTACACAACAATAAGACGATTTTGAAAGTGACCTAACACAAGTGTAACAATAATTAATTTTGCACAAAACGTGTGAATCCAAATTATACCTTATACCATATTATACACAAATTATAAATGTTGAAATATTTATTTTCCCACTGGGAGTTCATGTAAATACACACTTATTTAGAAGTAAAATATAAGGCCCTTTAATGGCAATTATTTATTTCTTGACAATTTTAAAGAGCTTAAGCAAGACTTTCCTTTATTAAAGAATGTGATATGCTTTGGAACTTACTTTGCATGGACAAGTAGAAATGGCTAGCAGATATAGATGTACTTTGTTTACAAAATGTATATTAGATAGCAGATTTAATCATCTGTAAGATTATTTCAGATTTAACTAATTTTATATGGTTTCAAGCCAGAAACCACTATAAGGAAATAAGGAGAACCACTTATTTAAAATGTAGTTTTAAAAACCTATATGTTTGTTTTCTAATATGGAACTTTCAATAAGGGGTATTTACTCATTCACATAATACTGGAATTTAAATGAAGAATCCTACAAAATAAACAAAGATAAAAGCAAAAGCACGTGACAGTAAAAAAGGAATACTAAACACCATCCAATATGTATAGAGTTTGCAGAGAACTAAAAATCTAGAATTAGAATTTAAAGGCAATATAAACATCAAAATAACAAAAAAGGTGTAAAATATAGATTACATTCCAAAACAAAGCCCAGATTATACAGCTTGTTAAGCAGTGTTAAGAGTGGAAACAGGTGTGCACTTCACGATTAGAAGCTTGTGACATAGACAGGGAACCACGTCGGCTGCTTGTCAATATGTTACACAGCTTTTACACAGCTGTACTGTAAAAGTTGCTTCCTCACAACCTTTCCCCTGATGCTGAAGCTTTTCTGGGAGTGTTAGAATTCCCTTAACACCCAGGGCTCTATCTAGGTCACAAAGAACGCAGTGGTAAAAGCAAAAGCTGCAGTGTGAGAAGGTGGGTGCATAGGCACCCTGGGCTATGACACTCACATCACATCATCAGCTGTTCATGTAACTAGTCCAATAAGACTTGTCAACAGCAAAGTGAAACCATCACTCAAAGTATGCTTAGCCTAAACCTAAAGTACCTAGTCTAAACATCTCACATATTACAATTATATCCATTTATTTTCTAACTGCTTTATCCAATACAGGGTCACAGGGGAGTTGGGGCCTATCCCAGGAAGCCATGGGTGAGAGGCAGGATACACCTTGGATGGGAAGCCAGTCTCGGCACACAAAGGCACAGACACTCATACTAGGACCAATTTTTCCAGAAGCCAATTAGTCTGTTGCTGAAACAAGTGCTTTTATTTACCTTGCTCGTTGGTTTCTGGCATGAGAAAAGGGCTAGCTTCTGTAGATCTTGACAGACTGACAGCATAACCATGCTGCTCAAGCGAATGCTGAAAAAGCTGAACCTCGGAATCTGTCGCTAAGTGGAATCCAGTCAGGATAATAGCTCTCCTGGTGCCTCCAGCCTTGTTCAGGGACACTTTTTCCACCTGCAAAAAAAAAAACTAGCATGTAGAGAAACATTTTCTCCGTTTCAAAGACATTCAGTATTTTTCCCCATGCCTTAATAATACAACCCAGTAAATTTCAAACTAACGCTCTTCTATCAAATATAAAAAAAAAACCATAATCAGATTTTGGACTATTTAGTGACAAACAGCATAAAAAATGTATCTTGAAAAGACAATATTCCATTACTATTTATGCTATTCTCCTTTGGTTTCTTCCAATTACACACAAATAGTAGCTTTGTATAATTTGTTGGCATCTTTCTAAAATAATGGAGAATGTCACTAGAACAATACTGTCTGCAAACAAAATGGAGGAGAAGTGGAAATTACTTTATATAATTCAATATTTCTCTCTGTAATATTGACTCTGTGCAACACAGTATACTGTATATAGTAAAATTAATGCTAATCTTGCAGATGGGTGTCTCACATTTAATGCTCCTCTTGTATTAAAAAATGCTTAAATAAATTTAGTTTTTTAATTAATTAACTATATTGTTTTTGGCTTTCCACCTCCTGCACATCATTTCCTTTCCTAGATTTTCTCACAGGATGCACACCTGTAAGATTATATCACAGTCATAAATCAAAAGTGGCAAAAAGACATAATACAGTCTATTTGAAATACAGATGACTCATATACTGAATAACAGAATAACATTTAATGTATCATTAAATGATTTTTCATGATTAGATAATGCAGCAGTTCTCTTTTTATGGGATGTATACATTAAGATAAAGTTTGTCTTCTTTTTTATGTACGCATTTACTTCTTTGTTCACAGTAACAACCCCCAAACCCATAGCATAAGGCATCTGATAAAAAAAAGGCTGCTCTGATCCACCGACTCATCAAGTCAGTCATCTACAGACACAGCAACATACATGTCTCAACATCACCGCCATAACCCTACAGGTTCCACCTACAGTAAGTCACAGGGGTCACTTTTCAGCTAATGTCATGACCAATGCTGAAATAAAAATTTCTAAAGCTAGTCTTCCAATTTTTGGGATATCCGATAATTTTCAACTTTAAGATGAAACAACAGATATTCTTTTTCAAGGAGATGAGGTGGTACAATGGTTTTAATTGTAAATAAATTTAAAAATGCTGGAATAGCAATATATAATTAACTGACATGTGTCCTTCACCGTCAGGTTGTTGTTGGGTAATTAAATACCAAAACAAATACTCAAAAACTAGCTCATCAACCTGTCTTGCTTTGACTTTAGTTTTTGGAGTTTGTAGTCAAATGTTAAAGTGAAAACCAGAGAACTTGAAGTAACCCAAGAAACAGGCAGTTATGATACTACAAGGAAAGAGAAACTCAATCAAAATCATAGTACAGATCAGCAAAATCAGCAAATGGGAATATAGTGAAAAAAAAACATAGAGTATAATTACCAATCAGCCAAGACAAGGTTGGCCAAGAGAAACATCTGCAGCTGATCAGAGAAAAATTATCAGAGTTGTCAAGGAAAACTCTAAAACAACGGTCAGTGAAATCACCAACAGTCCCCACAGTGCTGGACTGAAAGTATCAAAATCCATAATCTGCAAAAGACTGTGTCTAAAGAATAGCAAAGCCTTCGCTGTAAAATGTAAATGTCACAGTAGTACCAAGAACAAAACAGACAGATTAGAATTTACTAAGAACTACACAGATGAACTAGCAGAGCTTTGGAACAAGTTCATGTGGAGAAAGAAAGGAACTGCAGATGCTCCAAAAAACACCACCTCATCTACAATATGAGCCCTGGTGGAGGTAATGTCATGGTTTAGACTTTCATGGCTGCCTCATGAACTGATTCACTCAACTTTATTTTATTGCTTCGTGATGGATGGATTGTACCTTTTCATATTATTCACATTATTCTCATGATCACAAATACAAATTGCTTGACAGTAAAAGTAACAATTTTGACTTTAATGCCCCAGTGCTTTTGGTGGGCATTGTAACAATTTTAAATTGCAATGTTAATTGGTCAAACTATTAGGTTTAAGATTATGTAAAAGAGTCTTGTTTGAAAAAAAACATTAAACTTCTAGTCAAATAAAACACATAGACAAAATTTCATTCCAGCTTTATCATGTGCACTGCTATTCACATTTTCTTAAAAACAGATTAGCTTGGGGTGTATTTGTTGAATTCACAATATACAGACAGCTGCCAAAATAAAGAAAACATTTGAGTAAATAAAGGATACAAAGCATATTTAAAGCAGGTTCTTCCACACAGATGTGGCTCCTAAGTAAATTAAGCTATTAACATCTCATCATGTTTAGGGTCATGTATGAAAACGCTGGACATGTCCAATTGCTCATCAATTTGCATACCTTGGCTAGAAAAAGAGATCTCAGTTGGGGAGCTTTAGGAAGACTGCTCAGCTTACTGATGTTTCACGAGGAACAGTGGCTAAGGTGATGTTGGCATGGAAGTCTGAGGGAAAGACATCAACTAGTAACACCATAACTGATTTCTGTGATTTCTGTGCATTGGTTCGAGATGCAATGCAAAATGGAAGAGCAACTTCACAGAGTGGGATGTTATGGACAGGTTGCAGTGCATAAGATAAGATAAGACTATTTCATTAGCCATATACAATTTCCTGCATTAGGAATTTATCTTTTTGCATTCCCAAGCTTGCTCCCCATGAGACACACATGCACACAGACAGGGAGAGAAGCTTGGGGTCAGAGCGCAGGGTCAGCCATTTATACGGTGCCCCTGGAGCAGCTGGGGTTAAGGGCCTTGGTCAGGATTCCTCTGCTGGCCATGGGATACAAACCGGCAACCTTCCAGCCACAGGCACAGATCCTTAGCCACAGTGCCACTGCTCCGCCCATAAACCCCTTATTACGCCTAAAATGCACTTTTGTGAATAAAGTGGTAAAAACAGACAGTAGTTTACTGAGCAGCGGAATAAATGGTCAGTTGAGTCATCTTTCTCACCCCTGTTCTCAACAAGCAGACCAGTACATGTATGATGCACGCCCAAAGAAAACTGCAAACTCGAATGCTTTCTTTCCATGGAAAAAGGTTCTGGGAGCTCTGTTACAGTGTGGGGTGCAATTTTCCTGGCATGGTTTATGTCCATTCAGCCCATTGGAGGGCAAGGAGAATGCCAACAAATACTAAGCCAGAGTGATCATGTTCATCTTGTGATGAAGCATTTCTACCCTGACAGGAGAGGAATCTTCCTGGATGACAATGTCCCCAGGGACACAAGTGGTCATTGTCGAGTATGAAAATGATGTTAACCATGTGCTATAGCTGACCAAGTCACCAGATCTCAACCTAATTGAACACTTACAGTATGGGAGATTCTGTAGTGGCTCCAGCTTTTTCCACCTCCATCAACAACACCAAATAATACAATTTCTCATGGAAGAATGGTGTTGCTTCCTTCCAATAGATTTCCAGATACTTGGAGAATCTATACCAGCATTGAGGCAGTTCTGAAGCTCTTCTAGCAGCTTCACGCCCTATTAAGAAACTTTATGCTGGTGTTTGCTATATTTTAACTGTGCTTTGTTATTGTATGTAAATTAAAACATCTCTTAAATTTTTTTTGTATAGTAAGTGAAGATCATATTTAATTACACTACACTTACTATACAATATATTGACTGTTAATAATGATGTCAGGTTTCTTGGTTCCAGTTAGTCTAGTCACTAAATAACACACATTTGGCTGTGATTACAAGAGTTCTATTTTGGACACAGCAGATGTGTTTTTTTATTACTTCCATGTATTTTCTTGTGACCTTCGTTACTACACCAATTGAGTGAGTACCTTGGACCCACTGAGCCAAGCTAAACTCCAACCATAATTATCACGGTTTACAGGCTTCAAGGCCTTTAATACGCCACAGCAGACCTACTCAAAATATTGATATTCAAATAAATGATCACCACTTTTGTACTGCCGTATCTAAAATAAGAAAAACCTCAAATAAAGAGTCTGTATTTACAATGAAAAAGCTAAGTTTAAATTTTAAAAGAGCTAAATAATTTATAAAAACCTGGCTCCTGATTGAAGTTACAATTGCTTTGGTGGCATGTTTTTCTTACCAACAATATTAATCTGACACCTTGGACATGTCATGTTCAAATGCCTCAGTTTTATACTATCTTCTTCTATTTTATGTCTATGGAGAATACAGACATGGTTTTAAAGATGTGGTAAATAACATGAATACAGGATTATTGTATTTACAGTAAAGAACATGGGATATTTTCTAAACAACAGGTGACATAGAGCAGTAATACACACTTAACACATGTGGAGAAAAAAGGCAGACTTGCTATTAGTACCATAATTCGTTAAAACCATTTGAAGTTATAGCTGATTTATCTTCTTTTAAAGACAGTACCTCGATTATTCCGGATAATGACTTGCATTTTACATATTTAGACCAACAGAAATTAAAACCTAGGCAGCTTCAAGCATGATAATCATAGCAGAGAATAATATATTTTCGAACAAGAATAAATCTTAAGCATCCCTTCTTATTGTACCAACAGAAATAAGATATCCAAGTTTGAAAATAAACCTTTTTATCCTTGACCTATACATAGCCCTGGCAAAACATGAGCACAGTGAATGCTTTGGCATCAGGCTGCTTCCGTATTGTGAGGATGAGATCATCAATCTGTGTTTGCAGGACCACAGCCAGTTCTCGGCAGATACTCTGTATGAAGGAGTCCTGTGAAGTCAATTTAAGGGGACTCTTCTGCACTACTCTGAACATGCTCAATGGGCTTCATTCCCATTAGCTGGCCAGACTACGCCTGGGCTCCAGTGATTTGGCTCTCCTCAGGTGTGAGCTGGGCTATCCTTGACTAATGAATGCAAAATCATTCCGCTAAGCTAACTGGAGCTCCCTCACACAGTATTTCTCCAAAACACATCCACAAAATGTAAAAAAGTGGGCTATTTAATAAGTATTTTTCCAGATTTTAAGGTTCCAGTGAT